CAATGGAATTTTTAGAAACTATGGCTAGATTACACGTCTGAACTCCAGTCACAGCAATTCATCTCGTATGCCGTCTTCTAAAAAAAAAAAAAAAAAAGTGCATACTGAATGGCTTAAAATAAGGAAAGATGTGTGCCACAGTTCTGTCCTTCCATCATATTTATTCAGTATGTATGCTGAGTAAATAATGTCACAAGCTGGCTTATATGAAGAAAAACATGACATCAGGATTGGAGAGTCATTAACAACAACCTACAGTGTTCATATGATACAATATTGCTTGCTTGTTGTTGTTATGTGTCATGGAGTCGGTTCTGACTCATAGTGACCTTGTACAGGGTTTCTGAGGGTGTAAAACTTTACAGGAGCAGAAAGCCTCAGCTTTCTCCCACAGAACAGTTGGTCGTTTCAAACTGCTGACCTTATGGTTCGCAGCCCGATTCATAACCGCTATGCTACCAGAGCTCCTTATTGCTGGCTTAGAGGACTTGAAATACTTACTGATGAAGATCAAAGACTACAGCCTTCAGTATGGGTTGTACCTCAATGTAAACAAAATGGAAATTCTCAGAAGTGGACCATTAAATAACATCATGATAAACAGAGAAAAGATTGAAGTTGTCAAAGACTTCAATTTGCTTGGATACACAATTAACACTCATGGAAGCAGCAGTCAAGAAATCAAACAATGTACTGAATTTGGCAAATCTGTTGCAAAAGAGCTCTTTAAAGTTTTAAAGAGCAAAGAATGTCAGTTTGAAGACTGAGGTATGCGTGACTCAAGTCATGATATTTTCAGTCACCTTATATGCATGTGACAATTGGACAGTGAATTAGGAAGACCTGAGAAGAATCGATACATTTGAATTATGTGTCAGAGAAGAATATTGGATTGCCAGAAGGAGAAACAAATTTGTCCTGGAAGAAGTGAAGCTAGAATGCTCCTTAGAAGAGAGGATGGTGAAACATTGTCTTTCATACTTTGGACATGTTGCCAGGAGGAATTAGTCCCTGGAGGAGGACATCATGCTTGGTAAAGTGGAGGGCCAGGTGGCAGCATTAATGGGCTCAAACATAACAATTGTAAGGATGGCACAGGTAGAAATCGAGGTGCTGCTTTCCGGACTGTGCTCTTATGTGGATTTTCTTGGGTGGGGAAATCCTTCATCTCTTTCTAGTTGTTGGCAGAATTCATTTCCCTAGGGTGGTGAAAATGAGGTTTCTTTGTTGGTTGTCAACCAGGATACATTCTACTCCTAGAGACTGTTCACACATCCCTCAGTCTTCAAACCATCAAAAGGATGACATGTCTTTCTCATTATTTCTCACATGTCTTTCTCACTCACACTTTACCTTCTAGTTTTTCCTTTACTACTTTTAAAGAGCTTCTGTGATTAGATTATGGCAACCCAGATAATTCTGCATCATCTTCTTATTTAATTTAATTACATCTGCAAAGTCCCTTTTCCAGGAACAGTAATATAATTCATGAGCATGCTATCTCATCAAATGGGTAGTCCTTGGTGTTAGGGTGGAAAATCTTGTTGGTCCATTGTTTGAATTCTGCCTACTTCACTTAAAAATATTATGCTAATTTTCTTTTAAACCTGAGAAGGTAATATATAATGTCCAATAAATGAAAAGCATGTACTCTCGTCCTATATACATTGTTATAAAAAACAAAAAATATTACATCTAAAATTGAATAGGAAAACCAACATTTATTTAAATACTTCTCTTTTTTATCTAAATCAAACACAGTTTTGATCCAATTGGATCCTCATAGGAACACCATTTATAACCAAAAATCAGCAGCAACAACAGAAAACAGTCGGGGGGTGGTGGTGGGGAAACCAACTTATTTAAAACCACTGACCGCAGCAGGTCAACTGACATTAGGATAGCCACACAACATCTCAGTTTTTGTTATATTCTACTTTTGATAAAAATTAATATTGAGCTATTCATTTTTATCATTTGTACTGTTTATTTACATGAAGACAAAGTGAGAACCTGATCCACTACCAGGCATTCAAGAGGCCTTATATGCAGCGTACTGCTGCAAAATGGCACAATGGAAATTGTGGAGAACCAAATTAATTTCTGTTTTGATTCCTACATACCTTTGTGCCTTGGTTGCATTTTTTGGTAACAGTTTTATTAAGATGCAGTTTTCCCTATAATGCAATAGTCACATCTAGGCATATATGTATATTTGTGTGTACATATTTGTGCACAGATACAAGTACATATAAAGAGACCAACACTCATTGGTAGTTACCAGGGATGGGTAGGGGACAGAGGGGAAACCATTCTCAAGATAGTAGACACTTGTTATTTTGGGTGATGGGAAAGGTAGCATCAAAGGTGGATTAAGATCACACAGTTTGACCAAGGTAAATGATGTCACTAAGAAGTACACAAGAGAAAATCACATTTTAAATAAAGAAAAATGACAAATATAATTTTTCAGCAACAATAGCATTAAAAATATATGTGTCGTTACACAAATATGTATATATGTATATGTGAATGCACAGACAGATGTATCTATATATGTATATACAGGTATGTGTGTGCATAATAAACCATATAGAGGACACAGTTCCAGATACTTCTTAGACATA